TATTAGATAATTTATTTAAACTGTGGTGTCTGTCTGTTTTCCAAAGAAAGGAATCCCAGCTATTGTCAAAGTATCATATTCATACTTTAAAAGCTGTTTCTGGGCTGAAAAGAAAACTGTTCTTAATGAAAGTCATCTGTCCAGGCTGTGGGCGGGGCCCCAGAGGCTCAGGGGCGGGGCCCTCGCTACTCCTGTCCAATCAGATCCCGGGGGCGTGGCCTCGGACCGCTGAGTCTTTGAGCTGAAGTGTGTGCGTGAAGCTGAAGCTGAAGTGTGTGTGTGTGTGTGTGTGTGTGTGTGTGTGAAGCTGAAGCTGCAGCGGTAAGATCCTGTTCTTCTCACTTTAATCCACTGCCGTTATTTATTGCCTTTACAGGAACTGATGTTTTATCAGTGTAAATTGACCATTTTAACAAACCTTTATCATCTGTATCAGAAATTCTGTGATTAGTTGATATACAGTAAGAGGAATGTTCTCAATCCGCTGAAACGATACATTGTTTGTCTTATTCGATACATCTTTATCAGAAATATTGATAGATGTGTCATTGATTAAAAAATCATTAATTGAATGTAAAGGTTGTGAATATGCGGACATGGTGATGGAAAAAATATATTTGTCAATTTTTTTGCGCCGTTCCTCTCAAGAAAGTGTCGCGTTCCCGCAGAAACTGCGCGCGCTCGCGGAGATCTCGAAAGTTTTGTGAGAGCGCGCAAAATCACTGAAACACATGTTCCCCATGTCCCTTTCGGTCCTCCGCATGAATATGTGATTTTATGACGGATTAACAGTTATTGCACTGTGTGAGTGAGTGAGTGAGTGTGTGTGTGTTTGAGAGAGTGTGTGTGTGTGCGTGTACAGGTTCATATTACATTGACCAAATGTCCCCGCAAGGATAGTAAAGCCTGAGATCCCCTGAGGGTCCAGCCAGCGGATCCCATGAGTACACACACTTATAAATCATACAGAATGGGGTTTTTTTTAATGTAAAAATGCAGAAAGTTTTGTGTGATGGGTAGGTTCAGGGCTCGGGTTAGTGTGTGTGTGTGTGTGTGTGATGGGTAGGTTCAGGGGTCGGGTTAGTGTGTGTGTGATGGGTAGATTTAGGGGTCGGGTTAGTGTGTGTGTAATGTAGTTTGTATAATATAAAAACCATAATTCCTGAGTCCCCACAAAGATAGCAAAGCCGACTTTGTGCGTGTGCGTGTGTGTGTGTGTGTGTGTGCGTGTGCGTGTGTGTGTGTGCGTGTGTGCGTGTGTGTGTGTGTGTCCAGACGCAGGTCCTTCATCAGATCTGGATCCGGCGGACTGCGGTAACCCTCGGGATAAGGGTTAGACGTGTGTGTGTGTGTGTGTGTGTGTGTTAGTGCGTGTGTAAGAGTTTGTGTGTTCTTACAGGTCACTCTCTTCAGTCTCTCTCACACACACACACACACACACACACACACACACACACACACACACACACACACACACCATCAATGAGCTCTCAGTACAGACTGAACAACAGACTCACTCTGACATCAGCAGCAGGAACAATAGAGCAGAGAGAGTGATGATGACACACACACACACACACACACACACACACACACACACTCACGCACACACACACACACTCTCACTCACACACACACGGCACCGCAGTCCTGAAGTGTCACTGGTCTCTCCCTGTGAAGGCCTCCTCCTTCTCCTCTGTACAGATAATCGCTGTCAAAATGATTCCAGTTCGCATGGATCCGTGACTAAAAATTCTGTATTATGAATTTTTAAGGCCAAACAAGTAATTTGTTGAGGTCAATTTAAAAAAAAAATTCAAGGCTTGTACCTTGGAACCTGTTTCATTGTTTGCGTTCTCGAGCCGCCAGGCACTGCTTTGTGCGGATGAGCGGCCGGATCGCGCTAAGGGTTTTCTGTTAGAGCGGTGTGTGTTAGCGACTTGACCTGTGTGTGTGTGTGTGTGTGTGTGTGTGTGCAGATGGAGCCCCTCAGACGCTCTGCTCAGGCTGATGGAGACTCGGGCTGGTTCGGGTTGAGGGTGCGGGTTCAGGGCGTCTCCGGTCAGCCGTGTGTGGTTCTGAACACCCAGAGGAACCTGGACTCTCCAGACTATCCTGACGTGTTCCCGATGGAGCCGCGGCAGCAGGAGTGTGTGTCCAGTATGAGCGGCGGGGCTTCCAGCGCTCAAACTCCACTGGATCATTCCAGATCCCTGAGATCCTTCCGGCACCCGTGGGCTCAGCAGAACCAGAGAAACCCGGAGACCCTCCGCTGGTCCAGCAGCCCGAACTCGCCCGTGGTGGTGAAGAGAGCCCGGATACCGGTGCCGGGAGCAGGATTCCCGGGTCCGGTGGTGGAGAGCGTTCCCTGCCGGCCGTCCCACATCATCAGCAGGGTGTGTGTCCCTCAGGAGCAGAACCCCAGCGGATCCCCTCGGCCCGGGAGAGCCCGTCACCACAGCAGAACCACTCCTGAGGAGAAGAGGCGCTCCAGGAGCCTGGAGACCAGATCCACACGCTCACGGACTCCGGCTGCCGGGGTCACAGGGGTCACAGAGGTCACAGGGGTCACAGAGGTCACAGGGGTCACAGAGGTCACAGGGGTCAGCTCTACATCTGCATGGTCAGAGCTCAAAGAAGACACGGAGAGAACGGCTCAGGTAGAGACAACAAACTGTTCAAACGAGTCGCTCTCTGAATGTGTGTGATTCAGTGGAAGGAGTTGTGTATGTGATGGTCCTGCTGTGTGTGTGTGTGTCTGTGTGTGAGAGAGATAGAGAGTGTGTGTGTCTGTATCTGTGTGTGTGTGTAAGAGAGAGATAGAGAGTGTGTGTGTGTGTGTGTGTGTGTGTGTGTCTGTGTGTGAGAGAGATAGAGAGTGTGTGTGTGTCTGTATCTGTGTGTGTGTTTCTGTGTGTGAGAGATATAGAGAGTGTGTGTGTCTGTATCTGTGTGTGTGTGTGTGTGTGTGTGTGTCTGTGTGTGAGAGAGATAGAGAGTGTGTGTGTCTGTATCTGTGTGTGTGTGTGTGTGTGTGTAAGAGAGAGATAGAGAGTGTGTGTGTGTGTGTGTGTGTGTGAGAGAGATAGAGAGTGTGTGTGTCTGTATCTGTGTGTGTGTGTGTGTGTGTCTGTGTGTGAGAGAGATAGAGAGTGTGTGTGTCTGTATCTGTGTGTGTGTTTCTGTGTGTGAGAGAGATAGAGAGTGTGTGTGTCTGTATCTGTGTGTGTGTGTGTGTGTGTCTGTGTGTGAGAGAGATAGAGAGTGTGTGTGTCTGTATCTGTGTGTGTGTGTGTGTGTGTGTAAGAGAGAGATAGAGAGAGTGTGTGTGTGTGTGTGTGTGTGTGTGAGAGAGATAGAGAGTGTGTGTGTCTGTATCTGTGTGTGTGTGTGTGTGTGTGTGTGTCTGTGTGTGAGAGAGATAGAGAGTGTGTGTGTCTGTATCTGTGTGTGAGTGTGTAAGAGAGAGATAGAGAGTGTGTGTGTGTGTGTGTGTGTCTGTGTGTGAGAGAGATAGAGAGTGTGTGTGTCTGTATCTGTGTGTGTGTGTGTGTCTGTGTGTGAGAGAGATAGAGAGTGTGTGTGTCTGTATCTGTGTGTGTGTGTGTGTGTGTGTGTGTAAGAGAGAGATAGAGAGAGTGTGTGTGTGTGTGTGTGTGTGTGTGTGTCTGTGTGTGAGAGAGATAGAGACTGTGTGTGTCTGTGTCTGTATCTGTGTGTGTGTGTGTGTGTGTCTGTGTGTGAGAGAGATAGAGACTGTGTGTGTCTGTGTCTGTATCTGTGTGTGTGTGTGTGTGTGTGTGTAAGAGAGAGATAGAGAGTGTGTGTGTGATGGTCTGCTCCTGCTGTGTGTGTGTCAGGCCACTCCTGATCTCCTGAAGGGACAGCGGGAGCTTCCGGATCATCCCGACGAGGAAACCGTTAAACTGCTGATGGTGAACTTCCTTAGAGAAGGGTGAGAACGGGCCGGAGATCCGGTTCAATCAGTGCTAACTTCAGAAATCTGTCATTATGTACCCAAAGCATGAGAATACACTACAGTAGTGCAGGAATATGATAATCATAAACTACGATTACCATAGCCCAGACCGCTGAGTGGTAATCATAAACCCTGTGAGTGTGTGTGCTGCTGGTTTCCCTCAGGTCCAGTGAGGATGAAGCGGTTATCAGGCGACAGGTGGAGCTGATGTTCGACCAGATCAACATGCTGAAGTTCAGAGCGCTAGAGGAGGTGAGCCAACACTCACCACAGTAACACACCCTTTATCATACAGTAGTACAGTAAACTACAGCTGCTCTTTCTGTAGTAAAGTATAAATTATGTTTATCGTTTTGATGACAGTTTCTGTAGTAACTGTAACTGCTGGTACTTTGACTGAAGTATTATGGAGGGATGTAACAGACTAAATTAAATAAATATAAAATGAAATTATTAAATAAGTCATGGCAAGTAATTAAAAGTATAATAAAACGTAAGCAAAAAAAAGCTGTAAAACATTTATTTTTTCATACAATACGAAAAGGATGTGAACTAGGCCTTAAAAATGAAAAACCTCAAGAAATATGAAATAAAATACACACTTTGTGATATAATGAAATACATCATGAATGTTGCAATAAATATAAGCATAATTAAATGCATTTATTTATGATTTTATTTATTGCAGCATTCCTTGACACATTTAATAATTTAATTTCATAAACTCCGTCAGCTAGTGGTTATGGTGGTGTGGTTATGTAAGGCGTTACAGTGTGTGTGTGTGTGTGTGTGTGTGTGTGTGTGTGTGTGTGTGTGTGTGTGTGTATGCGTGTGTGTGTGTGTGTGTGTGTGTGTGTGTGTGTGTGTTGTGTGTGTGTGTGTGTGTGTGTGTGTATGTTCACAGTTTGAGTTTGCAGGTCCTCTCGAGCAGGTGAAAGATCTCCTAGACAGGAGGGCGGCGCTTGAGAGCCACGTCTGTCACTTACAGCAGCAGCTGCAGGAAACACTGCAGGTGATCTGATCATGTGACCGCGGTCCTCAGCGATCTGGGGCTAGTCTGACGTCATGCGTGTCTCGTGATCTGATCATGTGACCGCGGTCCTCAGCGGTCTGGGCTAGTCTGACGTCATGCGTGTCTCGTGATCTGATCATGTGACCGCGGTCCTCAGCGATCTGGGGCTAGTCTGACGTCATGCGTGTCTCGTGATCTGATCATGTGACCGCGGTCCTCAGCGGTCTGGGGCTAGTCTGACGTCATGCGTGTCTCGTGATCTGATCATGTGACCGCGGTCCTCAGCGGTCTGGGCTAGTCTGACCTCATGCGTGTCTCGTGATCTGATCATGTGACCGCGGTCCTCAGCGGTCTGGGCTAGTCTGACGTCATGCGTGTCTCGTGATCTGATCATGTGACCGCGGTCCTCAGCGGTCTGGGGCTAGTCTGACGTCATGCGTGTCTCGTGATCTGATCATGTGACCGCGGTCCTCAGCGGTCTGGGCTAGTCTGACCTCATGCGTGTCTCGTGATCTGATCATGTGACCGCGGTCCTCAGCGGTCTGGGCTAGTCTGACGTCATGCGTGTCTCGTGATCTGATCATGTGACCTCGGTCCTCAGCGGTCTGGGCTAGTCTGACGTCATGCGTGTCTCGTGATCTGATCATGTGACCGCGGTCCTCAGCGGTCTGGGCTAGTCTGACCTCATGCGTGTCTCGTGATCTGATCATGTGACCGCGGTCCTCAGCGGTCTGGGCTAGTCTGACCTCATGCGTGTCTCGTGATCTGATCATGTGACCGCGGTCCTCAGCGGTCTGGGCTAGTCTGACGTCATGCGTGTCTCGTGATCTGATCATGTGACCTCGGTCCTCAGCGGTCTGGGCTAGTCTGACGTCATGCGTGTCTCGTGATCTGATCATGTGACCTCAGTCATCAGCGGTCTGGGCTAGTCTGACGTCATGCGTGTCTCGTGATCTGATCATGTGACCGCGGTCCTCAGCGGTCTGGGCTAGTCTGACGTCATGCGTGTCTCGTGATCTGATCATGTGACCTCGGTCATCAGCGGTCTGGGCTAGTCTGACGTCATGCGTGTCTCGTGATCTGATCATGTGACCGCGGTCCTCAGCGGTCTGGGCTAGTCTGACGTCATGCGTGTCTCGTGATCTGATCATGTGACCTCGGTCATCAGCGATCTGGGCTAGTCTGACGTCATGCGTGTCTCGTGATCTGATCATGTGACCGCGGTCCTCAGCGGTCTGGGGCTAGTCTGACGTCATGCGTGTCTCGTGATCTGATCATGTGACCGCGGTCCTCAGCGGTCTGGGCTAGTCTGACCTCATGCGTGTCTCGTGATCTGATCATGTGACCGCGGTCCTCAGCGGTCTGGGCTAGTCTGACGTCATGCGTGTCTCGTGATCTGATCATGTGACCTCGGTCCTCAGCGGTCTGGGCTAGTCTGACGTCATGCGTGTCTCGTGATCTGATCATGTGACCGCGGTCCTCAGCGGTCTGGGCTAGTCTGACCTCATGCGTGTCTCGTGATCTGATCATGTGACCGCGGTCCTCAGCGGTCTGGGCTAGTCTGACGTCATGCGTGTCTCGTGATCTGATCATGTGACCGCGGTCCTCAGCGGTCTGGGCTAGTCTGACGTCATGCGTGTCTCGTGATCTGATCATGTGACCGCGGTCCTCAGCGGTCTGGGCTAGTCTGACGTCATGCGTGTCTCGTGATCTGATCATGTGACCGCGGTCATCAGCGGTCTGGGCTAGTCTGACGTCATGCGTGTCTCGTGATCTGATCATGTGACCGCGGTCATCAGCGGTCTGGGCTAGTCTGACGTCATGCGTGTCTCGTGATCTGATCATGTGACCGCGGTCCTCAGCGGTCTGGGCTAGTCTGACCTCATGCGTGTCTCGTGATCTGATCATGTGACCGCGGTCCTCAGCGGTCTGGGCTAGTCTGACGTCATGCGTGTCTCGTGATCTGATCATGTGACCGCGGTCCTCAGCGGTCTGGGCTAGTCTGACCTCATGCGTGTCTCGTGATCTGATCATGTGACCGCGGTCCTCAGCGGTCTGGGCTAGTCTGACGTCATGCGTGTCTCGTGATCTGATCATGTGACCTCGGTCCTCAGCGGTCTGGGCTAGTCTGACGTCATGCGTGTCTCGTGATCTGATCATGTGACCGCGGTCCTCAGCGGTCTGGGCTAGTCTGACGTCATGCGTGTCTCGTGATCTGATCATGTGACCGCGGTCCTCAGCGGTCTGGGCTAGTCTGACGTCATGCGTGTCTCGTGATCTGATCATGTGACCGCGGTCCTCAGCGGTCTGGGCTAGTCTGACGTCATGCGTGTCTCGTGATCTGATCATGTGACCGCGGTCCTCAGCGGTCTGGGCTAGTCTGACGTCATGCGTGTCTCGTGATCTGATCATGTGACCGCGGTCATCAGCGGTCTGGGCTAGTCTGACGTCATGCGTGTCTCGTGATCTGATCATGTGACCGCGGTCATCAGCGGTCTGGGCTAGTCTGACGTCATGCGTGTCTCGTGATCTGATCATGTGACCGCGGTCATCAGCGGTCTGGGCTAGTCTGACGTCATGCGTGTCTCGTGATCTGATCATGTGACCTCGGTCCTCAGCGGTCTGGGGCTAGTCTGACGTCATGCGTGTCTCGTGATCTGATCATGTGACCGCGGTCCTCAGCGGTCTGAGCTAGTCTGACGTCATGCGTGTCTCGTGATCTGATCATGTGACCGCGGTCATCAGCGGTCTGGGCTAGTCTGACGTCATGCGTGTCTTGTGATCTGATCATGTGACCGCGGTCCTCAGCGGTCTGGGCTAGTCTGACGTCATGCGTGTCTCGTGATCTGATCATGTGACCTCGGTCATCAGCGGTCTGGGCTAGTCTGACGTCATGCGTGTCTCGTGATCTGATCATGTGACCGCGGTCCTCAGCGGTCTGGGCTAGTCTGACGTCATGCGTGTCTCGTGATCTGATCATGTGACCGCGGTCATCAGCGGTCTGGGCTAGTCTGACGTCATGCGTGTCTCGTGATCTGATCATGTGACCGCGGTCATCAGCGGTCTGGGCTAGTCTGACGTCATGCGTGTCTCGTGATCTGATCATGTGACCGCGGTCCTCAGCGGTCTGGGCTAGTCTGACGTCATGCGTGTCTCGTGATCTGATCATGTGACCGCGGTCATCAGCGGTCTGGGCTAGTCTGACGTCATGCGTGTCTCGTGATCTGATCATGTGACCGCGGTCCTCAGCGGTCTGGGCTAGTCTGACGTCATGCGTGTCTCGTGATCTGATCATGTGACCGCGGTCCTCAGCGGTCTGGGCTAGTCTGACGTCATGCGTGTCTCGTGATCTGATCATGTGACCGCGGTCCTCAGCGGTCTGGGCTAGTCTGACGTCATGCGTGTCTCGTGATCTGATCATGTGACCGCGGTCCTCAGCGGTCTGGGCTAGTCTGACGTCATGCGTGTCTCGTGATCTGATCATGTGACCGCGGTCATCAGCGGTCTGGGCTAGTCTGACGTCATGCGTGTCTTGTGATCTGATCATGTGACCGCGGTCCTCAGCGGTCTGGGCTAGTCTGACGTCATGCGTGTCTCGTGATCTGATCATGTGACCTCGGTCATCAGCGGTCTGGGCTAGTCTGACGTCATGCGTGTCTCGTGATCTGATCATGTGACCGCGGTCCTCAGCGGTCTGGGCTAGTCTGACGTCATGCGTGTCTCGTGATCTGATCATGTGACCGCGGTCATCAGCGGTCTGGGCTAGTCTGACGTCATGCGTGTCTTGTGATCTGATCATGTGACCTCGGTCCTCAGCGGTCTGGGCTAGTCTGACGTCATGCGTGTCTCGTGATCTGATCATGTGACCTCGGTCATCAGCGGTCTGGGCTAGTCTGACGTCATGCGTGTCTCGTGATCTGATCATGTGACCTCGGTCCTCAGCGGTCTGGGCTAGTCTGACGTCATGCGTGGCTCGTGATCTGATCATGTGACCGCGGTCCTCAGCGGTCTGGTCATGTGACCGCGGTCATCAGCGGTCTGGGCTAGTCTGACGTCATGCGTGTCTCGTGATCTGATCATGTGACCTCGGTCATCAGCGGTCTGGGCTAGTCTGACGTCATGCGTGTCTCGTGATCTGATCATGTGACCTCGGTCCTCAGCGGTCTGGGCTAGTCTGACGTCATGCGTGTCTCGTGATCTGATCATGTGACCTCGGTCCTCAGCGGTCTGGGCTAGTCTGACGTCATGCGTGTCTCGTGATCTGATCATGTGACCTCGGTCATCAGCGGTCTGGGCTAGTCTGACGTCATGCGTGTCTCGTGATCTGATCATGTGACCTCGGTCCTCAGCGGTCTGGGGCTAGTCTGACGTCATGCGTGTCTCGTGATCTGATCATGTGACCGCGGTCCTCAGCGGTCTGGGCTAGTCTGACCTCATGCGTGTCTCGTGATCTGATCATGTGACCGCGGTCCTCAGCGATCTGGGCTAGTCTGACGTCATGCGTGTCTCGTGATCTGATCATGTGACCGCGGTCCTCAGCGGTCTGGGCTAGTCTGACGTCATGCGTGTCTCGTGATCTGATCATGTGACCTCGGTCATCAGCGGTCTGGGCTAGTCTGACGTCATGCGTGTCTCGTGATCTGATCATGTGACCGCGGTCCTCAGCGGTCTGGGCTAGTCTGACCTCATGCGTGTCTCGTGATCTGATCATGTGACCGCGGTCCTCAGCGGTCTGGGCTAGTCTGACCTCATGCGTGTCTCGTGATCTGATCATGTGACCTCGGTCATCAGCGGTCTGGGCTAGTCTGACGTCATGCGTGTCTCGTGATCTGATCATGTGACCTCGGTCATCAGCGGTCTGGGCTAGTCTGACGTCATGCGTGTCTCGTGATCTTATCATGTGACCTCGGTCATCAGCGGTCTGGGCTAGTCTGACGTCATGCGTGTCTCGTGATCTGATCATGTGACCTCGGTCATCAGCGGTCTGGGCTAGTCTGACGTCATGCGTG